GTCGGCCTGGGTGTTAAGTGCTCCAAGGAGGTGGCCACTGCCATCCGTGGGGCCATCATCCTGGCCAAACTCTCCATTGTCCCGGTGCGCAGAGGCTACTGGGGGAACAAGATGGGCAAGCCCCACACCGTCCCTTGTAAGGTGACGGGCTGCTGCAGCTCTGTGCTGGTGCCCCTCATCCCTGCACCCAGGGGCACTGGCATCATCTCAGCGCCTGTGCCCAAGAAGCTGCTCATGATGGCTGGTATCGATGACTGCTACACCTCAGCCCGGGGCTGCACTGCGGCCCTGGGCAACTTCGCCAAGGCCACCTTTGATGCCATCTCTAAGACCTACAGCTACCTGACCCCGACCTCTGGAAGGAGACTGTGTTTATCAAGTCTCCCTATCAGGAATTCACTGACCACCTTGTCAAGACCCACACCAGAGTCTCTGTGCGGCGGACCCAGGCCCCAGCTGTGGCTACAACATAGGGTTTTTATACAAGAAAAATAAAGTGAATTAAGCCTGTTAAAAAAATAAATAAAAATAAATAAATAAATAAATAAATAAGTAAATACCCATGATCCTAAAATGAGAATGTAATGGTTGTAGAGGTATAGCAATGCTTGGCAGTAACTGTATGAAAAGATATTTTGTACATAAAAACATGCAAAATATCATTACGGATTATTATTAACAGTATTTGCAATCAATCTTGAAGAAATATTAACTTTAAACCCAAATCAAGAGTATTTCTTTCTTTTCAGTGTATCTGCATTATAAAACAATTATTACACTTTGAATTCCATCAACAAAAATTTGTGGCAATGTTTATATAAGTTTCTATAAATTATCTCCAATTCTACATCTGAGTCAACAATTCTTAAACAAATTATTGTCTGTCCCTTTAGATTAAAATCTGCATACTTTTAAATTACATATTTTGATAGCTATTGGTCATTTTACTAGATTAAATTTCAAACGTAGCAAATACATATTTCAGATGCTTTTTCCTAATCCATAAAGGGAAAAAAGGAAGAAAATTTCAAAAGACATTGGAGTTTAATAAAAATCATTGTCTATCAACATACCATATTGTAATAGTAATTTCAGTAATATCACTAATTTACAGTAATATCAATAATTTACAGTAATATCACTGTAGATATACTTGACTTATTGCAGTATAAATGCCAGTAAAATGATCTTCTAATGAATATCAGTGTATGTGCAGAGATGATGTAGAGTGAGGCAGGAGAATAACCAAATGAAGATAGAGTTGCTAATGCTTGAAATATATGAAGGACTTAAATGAACCAATCCAAATACCTACTGAGCAATCCAGCAATTATGCTGGTATTCATCCAAATGTACAGAAAACTTATGTCTACACAAAAACCTGCATTTAGATGTTTAGATCAAATGTAGTCATAAATATTTAAACTTGGAAGCAATCAAGATGTACTCTGATAGGTGAATGGATAAATAAACTATGGTGCATTTAGACAATGGGATATAATATACTGCTAAAAAGAAATTAGCTAAGCCATGAAAAGATATGGAGGAAATGTAAATGCAAATTACTAAGTGGAAATAAGAACATCTTAAAAGGCTGCATGGTATATGATTTCAACTACATGACATTCTGGAAAAGGCAAAACTATGGAGACATTAAAAGGAGCTATGGTTGCCAGGGGTCATGGGAGAGGAAGGGAAGAATAGAGGAGAGATTATTTTTAGTAGAATGAAACTATTATGTGTTGTATTATAATCATGGATACGTATCATTATATATTGTTCAAACTCATAGAATGCACAACACCAAGAGTGAAATCTAACGTAAACTATGAAATTTGGGTGATAATACTGCATTGATATAGGTTCATTGAACGTAACAAATATGCCGCTCTGGTGCAGGATGCTGATAGTGGTGCAGGCTGTGTCTGTGTGGCAGCAGGAACCATATGAGAATTCTGTACTTGACACACAATTTTGCTTAAATCTGCTCTGCAAAATAAAATTTACTTAAAAATATCTACCGTGTGTGTTGCACAAGGATTGTGTGCGTTGCACAGGGATTATTTAAAAATATCTATGTGCGTTGCACTTAATCACAATCATTCTGAGTGAATTAATATCACATTGCATAATATCAGTCGTATTTACCATGTTAATCACTTGTTCCTGAACATAAAACTAGAAGATTGTTTATACCATACCTAATACTCATTCTCCTCATTACCCTTCTGACAACATAAACCTAACTGGAAATTTTTTATAGCTAATTTATTAAATAAGTTCATATTTAATTAACTCAAGTGAACTCAAAAAATATACACCTATAAAATCTGAATAAAAGTTTCCTCTTTATAATATTGTACTTAAGGTTAAACTGAGTAATATATTTTAAATAATCTAGCAAAATAATGATACTAATACTGATCAGGTATGACATTTTTGTGTGCCTTTGTTGCACCTTGTGTTTATTATATTTTTATGAAAACTATTTTTAGCTAATAATAAAACTATTGTTCTACTATATTACTATAACTATAAAATAATTTATGATTATAATTATTCTTGTTACCACATCCCTTTTCTATTTTCTTCCTGTCTCAATTTTTGTAAAACTCCTGTCTTCTTTTCTAATTATATGATTTTATGCTTACCTCTCTTAAAATTTTCGATATATAGTTACTTCTTTACATTTGTGATACAAAGGAGATATTTTCTTGAAAGTTAAATATGTAACATGAGATATGAAATCCTGGGAAGAAAATGTGTAAATGCTACATTTCACCTTACCTTATGAGAAAGCACAGTTACGAAAAATTTACGATTGAAAATGAGAAGTTAATGACTAAATTGCCTGAGGACAAAGAAGAACGAATTTGACAGATAAGAAATTTATCGTGTTTTCAAAAATAAAGCCCTTATAACAATCAATTATGCTTATAGAACTTCCTTGAATTTCTGTGAATTGGAAAATGACCTTGTATTGCTGTCATAAAATGTTAAACAGAATATAAAACACAGAAAACTGACATTAGAGTCAATATGGAGAGACTCCATGTCCCCAAGGAAACATACTTTAACATTGAAGACAGCATAAATTGAGAGAAGAAAGATGGGATGAGAAACAAGTTATCTATCATAATATAACTGATTATGTCTTAATAAATGTTTGAAATTATTATAAAATACATTTAAAATAAATTATTACGTTTAGAAATTTTTAAACTTCTCACTAAAATGGCAGAGCAAGAGAGTAGGAGATACCAGCCTTAGTTCTCTCATATATATATATATATATATATATATATATATATATATATTCATAATAGCACAGGTAGGGCTCAAAAGCCCATTAAGGAATCTGCAACAGCACAGCAGAGTAAGAAGAATATAAAGAATAACCACATAGAAGTAATTTCTGGAGAGTGGCATACCTGGTATGTAAGGAGATGCCTAGGAGCAAAGAAGTAAGGTGGAGACATTGGTACCAGCCATGCAGTGGGGACCACCATAATCACCAGTGAGCTCCTCGGCAGAGGACACCAGAATCTCTTGCCTCTGCAAGAATCAACTGTCATTTCTGCTGGGAAAAACCTTGGAGAGGTAGACATAGCTGCACTATCTTCCAAATCCCGGGAGGCTGTTGCTGTTGAGTTGCTTTGGAAAAGGTGCCACCACCCAATCCAACCACATGCATGACTCGACCCTACAGCTGTGGTGACTTCTCCAGAAGTGCCCATACCCAGAACCAGGCTCTGCAGCTGCACCGAGCCTGCCCATATTGCAGATATAAACGGCATTATCATAGTGAGCTGCTTTGCATTCTAGACCCCAGAGCAAAGCCTTCACTATGCATGCCCTCATTCCAGGTACTGACTCAGCCACCATAAACAGACTCCGCCCTAGTCCCAAAAGCCCACTGAGTTTGCACATGCCTATGCCTCCATTATTGGTTTCATGGCTATTTCACAATTATTCGCACCTTTTATATTATTGCCAATATGGTAGTAAGGGTGCCTGTGCCCTGGGATCCAGTGCAATTACTCTTCTGGTCCCAGAGCTGTAGTACCACCACCTGTGCCTGTTCTTCAAGCCTCATTTCCATAGCCACTCTGTGGGTATTACTCAGAGACACCAATGACACTGCCACTGGAAGCAAGCTCACCAGCCAAACACAGTGCCAAGAGGGATCTCCTAAGCCACCACCTCCCCAATGGAAGACGAAGAAATCAAGAAGACCTTAACAGCCATCTCCACTAAATGCCTCAACCACCCTCACCACCATTCCTGAAATTTGTAATGTTGGCCACTAATGATACCTGAAATTTTCATTAACATTGACCCAGGTGACAATGCTGCACAGAGAATAATACCTAGAACATAGAGATTAGTTGCCATGACTACTGCAAGTAACCCCAAAAGCACCCTTCCACAACCCTATAGAGAAGGATCTTTTCACAATGAAACTGTGTCCAGAATTGATGGGTTCTTGGTATCGCTGACTTCAAAAATGAAGCCACAGATCCTCACCGTGAGTGTTACAGTTCTTAAAGATGGTGTGTCAGGAGCTTCTTCCTTCTGGTGGGTTCATGGTCTCCCTGGCCTCAGGAGTGAAACTGCAGACCTTCACAGTCAGTGTTATAGCTCACGAAGGTGGCATGGACCCAAGCAGTGAGCAGCACCAAGATTTATTGTAAAAACCAAAAGAAAAAAAGGCTGCCACAGCAGGAAGGGACCAGAGTGGACTGCACTGCTGGCTGGGGCAATCTGCTTTTATCCCTTTACCTGACTGCCCCGACTCCACATCCTGCTGATTGGTCTATTTTACAGAGAACTGATTGGTCCATTTTACAGAGAGTTGATTTGTCCATTTTACAGAGAGCTGATTGGTCCGTTTTGACAGGATGCTGATTGGTGCATTTACAAACCTTTAACTAGACACAGAGTGCTGATCGGTGCGTTTACAATCCTTTAGCTAGACACAAAAGTTCTCCAAGTCCCCACCCATCCCAGAAGCCCAGCCAGCTTCACCTCTCACAGGTACCTGCTACGGGACTTTGCAGCACCTAGCCTGGGCACTGGGGCAGCCCAGAGGGAGCTCGTCCCAGACAACCAAGAGGAAAAGAGGGGAAGCGAGAAAGAGAGGAGACCCGCCATTATGACCAATGACCCGGTGAAGCAGGAATGACGGTTCCCGCACAGGCCCCTGATCAATCCCAGCAGGCGCCAGCAGGGCCGGGCACAATGCTGGGCCCGCTGAGCCCACGCATCAGGAACCCACGCTTCAGGCGCAGCCCAGATTCGCGCTGCACCTCTCCCTCCACACCTCCCCGCGAGCAGAGGGAGCCGGGCTCCGACCTCGGCCAGCCCCAGTGAGGGACCCCAACAGCTCAGCGGTTGACTGAAGGGCTCCTCAAGCGCGGCCAGAGCGGATGCGGAGGCCGAGGAGTTGCCAAGAGCGAGGGCTGGTAGCACGTTGTCACGTCTCAAAACTGCCCTGTAAAGTCTGCAAGATGTGACTATTCCACCAAATCTCCAGACATCCACATAAGGCAACGAGAAACATGAAAAACCAGGAAGACATCAAACTACCAAAAGAATACAATAAACTCACAGCAGCTGACCCCAAATAAATGGAGACATAGTAGTCCTGTCTTATGTACGGTTTCACTTTCTACAGTTTCAGTTACCCATGGTAAGTGAAAAATTACAAAATTAAGCAATTTGTGAGTCTTAAATTTTGCATTGTCCGGAGTAGAGTGATTAAATTTTGCACAGTTTCACTCTGTCTCATCCAGGAAATAATCTCTTTGTCCTGTGTATCCATGCTATATATGTCACCTACTTTTTAGACATCAATATCATCTTCTCCTGACAGATAATCATCAACATCATCATGGCTAGATGGTCCAAGATTACCCAAAACAGATAGTCCTCCTTTTAACATACTGTAAGGAGTCAGTAGTAGCCTAAGATTACATCACAATGCCTATGCAATCCACTTTACTTTATCTAATCATGCATATTTTTTATCTCAGATCATCACAAGAAGGGTGAGTACAGATTTTTTTTTTTTTTTTTTTCTGAGAGGGAGATAAAGAGGGAGAGAACATTCTCATAACTTACAGCATATTATAATCATTCTATTTTATTAAGAGTTATTGTCAATGTATTATTATGCTTAATTTTTACACAAAACTTTATCACAGGTATTTATGTACATTTAAAAATGGATAGTATATATAGAGGCTTTGGAACTATCCATGATTGTAAGAATCCACTGGGGGATGTTTGAATGTATCCCCCACAAGAAAGGGGTGACTACTATATACAAACTGCCTGATAAAATATTCAAAATAATTATTTTAAGGAGCCAAGCAAATTTTGAGAAAATACACGTAAACAACTCAATGAAATCAGAAGAAAAATAAAAGACCAAAACAATTTTTTTGTTATTGAGATGGAGTTTAGGTCTTGTTGCCCAGGCTGGAGTGCAATGGCACGATCTCTGCTCAACGCAACCTCCGCTTCTCCAGTTCAAGCGATTCTCCTGCCTCAGCCTCCCAAGTAGTTGGGATTATAGGCAAGTGCCACCACACCCAGCTAATTTTGTGTTTTTAGTAGAAAGGGTGCTTCTCCATGTTGGTAAGGCTAGTCTCTTAACTCTGGACCTCAGGTGATCTGCCCACCTCGGCCTCCCAAAGTGCTGGAATTACAGACTTGAGCCACCAAGCCCAACCCAAAACAATATATATAATATTAACTCATATATTTTTTATTTGTACCTATATTAGACAACACATTCTGAGTAATGAATTCTATAACATAAATTATTTGCAGAACGAAACCCAGCAAGTTAAGGGTTTGGACTGAGACTCCTTTTGTTTGCAGTCTGATTCAAGATGAGACTGGTGACAAGTGAAGGAACGTACCAGGGAATTTCAAGAATGTTTCCTATTCCCACAGTTTCCAGCACAACAACAACAACAAACAAACAAAACAACAATATCTACTGAGTGTTTATTATGCACTAAGAGAGTTCTAGAGTGTTACATAGATTCATACGTAAGAGCTTTATCTAGGTCATCACTGGTTCAACGGAAGATAGCTTATGTAGCATAAGGTACAGACCATGACTGCAGAAAATGCTATGTAGGAAGATTATTTTAGCAATATAACTAAATAGATTTCTTTGAGTACTCTATTGGAGGATGATGCTTATTTTGGAGAATATTTACAGTTTAAGCTAATGTATCTTCCCTGAGTAATCCCAAATGACAATTTTATTTTAAATCATTTTCTCTTAATAATATTAAGACAAATGAGCTTTCAAAAAGTGAATTACTGTTAGCTTGTGGGCATAAACTTTCCAAATTATGTCACTCATCAAACTTCTTTGGAGCCCCTTATGCCGATGGTGACTGTAAAAGAAGTTTTACAAATACATGCTCCTATGCCAGTTATTATAGTAATGTTTGTTATAAACTGTTTATCCTAAAAAAATAAAACATTTATAATATTTTAGATTTTAGAAAGATTAAATACAACTATTTTAGTAAAATAGTTATTTTATTAGAATAATTCATCATTAACATACTTTGTCATCGAGTCAAATATATTACATAATGTCATAAATCCATAGGAAATTTTATGTGATCCTCTATGTCCTTAGACAAAGGGAGGAATATGTTATGTGTTGAAATACTGCTTCAAAACAAATTTTAAATAGTTATTGCTCTGCAGAGTCTTGTTGTTTGGAAGCCTGATAGCACAGAAAATTCCTTAGCGCATATCTCTCAAAGAAACTCAGCCTCTTTTATTTCAAATGATTCACCTTTTCACTCATTCATGTGTTGAAAATCAGATAACATTTGAAATAATGACATATTTTTGGAAAAAAGTATTAGCAGATTAACTTTCTGTGCCATTTAGTGTTATGTATCTTGGGTCTCAGAGCCACCCTTCTAAACTTTGCCTGTGGTGTTAGAGGTTCAAATTCTGCCAACTGCATTTCTCCTTTGCCAGTGACGGAGGTGTCTGTACGAAGAGAATGTTCTGGAATTCTGGGAGAAGAGAGAAAGGGACTTGCCTTTTTCTGATGTAGTGCTGTTCCTGCCAACATCAATTTAGCAATGGCCCTTTGTCCTGGCAGAGGTATTGAGATCTCCATTATCCAGTTTTTCTTATGCTCTTTCATAATCGGCTTCCACGTGCTCCCTTAAAGGTGGAACCACAAGCCCTGCAATGCTTCCTCTTCAATGATATCAACATCAGAAAGCAGCACTACCACAGGTGATTCTAGTCTCAGTTCCACAGAGCCTCTCCCCAAAACTTCTAGAATCCAATAAGCCAAATTCTTCTCTTTGTTTGCTAAATGATTTCTAGAATCTCTATCCATGTGTTATCCCATTATCCCATATTCCTTCTTTAGCTGTTTAGTTGTCTAACAACTGATGAATGATTTCTTTACATTAATTTCCTTCTGTAAAAAATAAGTGGTGTAGCTTTTGTTTTTCTTACTAAATCATGGTTATTTTAATTAAATACTTGACTTGTCTTATTAAATGTCCAGACAAAACCTTCTTTACTGTTAAATTAAAATTAAAGCAGTAGGAAAAGTAACGTATTTTTCTCAGTCCTCTTTCCACTGTATTCTCTAATAATTAGATTTAAAGGGAATCGGTGGTCAGACAAGACTTTTTAGATGAAAATAATATATTCCAATACACGTATCCTCCATTATTGTCTTGGGTAAGTATTATATGTTCAACAGAAATGGATAGGGGAAGGAGGAGGTAAAAGAAAGGTATCCAATGTTTCTTATTTTTGATGATTGCATTTCTATGCTTTTGATTATGGATAAAATTTCCCTTTGATCGAACTCTTGCAATTGGGAAGCAAATAAAGTGTCTCAGCAGTTGCTGAGATTCTTAATGATATTTTTATAATTCAGATCTACCCATGATTATCAGTTATAACATCTGTAAATTTATCTCTATTTTGAAATCCATAATTATTTTTAACGTGAGGTAGTTGGTTGTAGCCAAAATCATTCAGTCAATAATTAATCAAGACACTCCCTTACTATAGATTTATCCATTACATTTAATTATAAAACAGTTTATACTCATACATCTTATTTGTATATTTGCTTAGAATTTTAACTTTGAATAAGGTATCTAAAACAAATACTCATTGTTTGCAAAAGGAGAGTTAAATTCTGCATTATTCTACTTGATCTTGCTTTTCAGATGGGAATCATGAAGTTCATGACTAACAGCAATTTTGATTTGGGTACATTTGCTTCTAAAACATTTCCTATCTCCTTATATTTAAATTGAAAGAGGATTATTTAAACATGTATCGGTCAACTTGTTAAACCAACCCAAGTCATACAAAGCAGGAAAATGGTCCTATAACTATTTTCTTTAATTTAAAAAACTAAAAATCTTATTAAAATGTAATCATTATTTATTTAGAATTAATATTTAAAAATAAGCATTTGTAAATTTAGCATATTTTTAAACTATTGCCCATATTTTCCATTTTATTTAAATTTCAAATTATCTTATACATTTTCGAGAAAAAAAATTTACTATTTCTTCCTGAAGCTTGATACATGTTCTGAGTTCACGGTTGCTTTTATTCTTTGGTACTTTAACATAGGTTTCCATGAAAAGTGCATAAAATACATGGATGTGAAAAGAGTTTTAATGTACTATCAAAGAACATGAATACTGACAGATTACTCCTTCAGTCTCATAAAATCCACTTATCCCATGTGGAATAAATAGCAGTTCCCCTTTATTTTGTTCCATGTAGCTTAAATGAACAATTTAGAGGATAATCTGATTTTTGCCCTCTTTTTTTTTCTTTTTTTTTTTTTTTTGGTGAGACAGAGTCTCACTCTGTCGCCCAGGCTAGAGTGCAGTGGCACGATCTTGGGTCACTGCAAGTGAAAGAAAACAGGCACATTCCTCAACCCCAGACTCAACACAAACAGGCCCAGTACAAACACATCCCACCATATATCTCTCAACTTCCTGAGCCAAGTACAAACACATCCCACCATATATCTCTCAACTTCCTGAGCCCAATACAAACACATCCCACCATATATCTCTCAACTTCCTGAGCCCAGTACAAACACTACCTGGAAAGTCTCCGATAAGGACACAGCCATTCATGGTTTTACTGAAAGCGCGGGAACCAATAGAAAACTGCTAAATGTATAACTTAAAATGTTAACCAATTGTAGTGCTGTAACCAAAAGAATTCCCTTGTTCCTCTGTAACTTTACGTATCCTATTTACATCGGGCTATAAAAGGCAAGCACTCGCATTGTTCGGGGCCCTCTTGTATGCTGTGGAATGGAGGGACCAAGTTCAAACTTACAGTAAAAGATCCTTGCCGCTTGGCTTTGACTCTGGACTCTGGTGGTCTTCTTTGGGGAACAAACGGTCTGGGCATTACACAAGCTCCGTCTCTGGGGTTCACGCCATTCTCCTGCATCTGCCTCCTGGGTAGCAGGGACTACAGGCACCCGCCATCATGCCCGGCTAATTTTTGGTATTATTAGTAGAGACGGAGTTTCACCATGTTAGCCAGGATGGTCTCGATCTCCTGACCTCGCGATCTGCCCTCCTCAGTCTCCCAAAGTGCTGGGATTACAGGCATGAGCCACCAAGTCCAGCC